GTACACATCCAACAGTATCACGGGGTTCACAGATCAAACTGGACCTGGACATCCCAATAACTGTAATGGCTAACACTCAGGTTTATTATGTTCCAGACACTCTTCCAAAGTTGAAGCTAAAGAAAATTAAAACAAGTCCACGAGAGCCAAATTTATGACCTTGAATATATCCCACCTGAATTTAGAGACATCTCAAAAGTAGATTTGGTGTACTGGACACTAATGACCAAAGACCAGAAGAGTTGTGGGATGACATCAAGAACATCATACACAAAAAAGAAAAGTTAAAAAAAATCATACAGGAAGAAAGCAAAAGGTCATTAAGAAGACATGAAAGAAGAAAAAGACCAGAATGGATCTCACATCTCTTAAACTTGCTCTGCAGCATAGAGATACTGAAGCAAATAGAAAAACTGAGGAGGTAAAGGAGCTTGAATATAACATTTCAAAGGGCAGCTTGAGAAGACAAAGTCAAATATTATAATGAGATGTGCAAAAACGTGGAATTAGAAAGCCAAAAGGAAAGAACACACACTCCGCATTTCTCATGCCGAAAGAACTGAAGAAAAATTCAAACCTTGACTTGAAATATTGAAGGATTCTATAGTGTGTGCTGTGGGTCAATGCGCTGGACTGCAAAGTCTGTTTGAACTGCAAAGTTGGCAGTTCAAGCTCACCAGCTGCTTCTCAGAAACCCTATACAGAGTCGCCATGGGTCAGAAGGAACTCAACAGCACTTAACAACAACAACATAGGCAAAATAGAGTCCTGGTATGGCACTGTGGGTAATGTGCTGGACTGCAAAGTCTGTTTGAAATGCAAAGTAGGCAGTTCAAGCTCACCAACCACTCCTAGGAAACCCTATACAGGGTTGCTATGAGTAGGAACCAACTTGACAGCACTCAACAGAAACAACATAGGCAAAATATTGAATGGTGCGGAAAGCATCAAAAGAAGATGGAAGGAAAACACAGAGTCACTATACCAAAAAGAAATGGCCAATGTTCAACTATTTCAAGAGGTAGCATATGATCAAAAGCCAATGATACTGAAGGAAGTTCACAAGTGCACCGAAGGCATTGGCAAAAAACAAGGCTCTGGGAATTGATGGACTGCAAATTGAAATCTTTCAACAAACTGAAGTGGCACTGGAGGCACTCACTTATCTATGCCAAGAAATTTGGACGACAGCTACCTGGCGTACCAATTGTAAAAAATCCATATTTGTGCCCATTCCAAAGAGAGGTAATCCAACAAAATATGGAAATCATCAGACCATATCATTAATATCGTATGCAAGTAGAATTTTGCTAAAGATAATTCAAAAACACTGCAACAGTACATTGACAGGGAACTGCCAGAAGTTCAAGTTAGATTCAGATGAGGACATGGAAGGAGGATCTTGGCTGAAAGTAAATACCAGAAAGCTATTTACCTGTGCTTTACTGACTATGCAAAGGCTTTCAATTGTGTAGATTATGACAAGCTGTGGACAGCATTGCAGAGAATGAGTATTCCAGAACACTTGATTGTGCTCATTAGAAAGCTGAACACAGACCAAGAGGCAGTTATTCAAACAAAACAAGGGAACACTGATGGTTTAGTATTAGGAAAGGTGTGTGCCAGGGTTGTATTTTCACACCAAACTTACTGAAACTGTACGCTGAGCACATAATCTGAGAAGCTGGATTATATGAAGAAAAGCATATCATCAAAGTTAGAGGAAGACTCATTAACAGCTTGCGATATGCAGACGATATAACCTTGCTTGCTAAAAGTGAAGAGGACTTAAAATACTCATTAAAAACAAAAATCCTCACCACTGGACTAAAAAATAACATCAAGATAAATGGAGAAAAGATTGAAGTTGTCAAAGACTTCATTTTGCTTGGATCAAACCATCAACACTCATGAAAGCAGCAGTTAAGAAATCAAATGATGTATTGCATTAGGCAAATCCAAGACCTTTTAAAAGTACCCAAGAGCAAAGATATAAGTTTGAGGACTAAGGTGCACCTGACCCAAGCCCTCATATGCATGTGAAAGTTGGACAATGAATAAGGAAGACCATAGAAAAAGTGATGCATTTGAGTTATGGCGTTGGAGGAGAATATTAAAAGTATCATGGACCGCCAAAAAAAACAAACAAATCTGTATTAGAAGAAGTACAGCCAGAATGCTCCTTAGAAGCCAGGAGGGCCAGACTTCCTCTTTCATACTTCGAACATATTATTAGGAGGGACCAGTGCCTGGAGAAAGACATCATGCTTGGTACAGTGGAGGGTCAGCAAAAAAGAGGAAGACCCCTAACAGATGGATTGGCACCATGGCACCAGCAATGGGCTCAAGCATAGCAACTATTGTGAGGTTGGCCCAGGACTGGGCAGTGTTTCACTCTGTTGTGCATAAGGTCGCTATGGGTTGGTACCAACTCGAAGGCAACTAACAACAACAATTCCAAGGAAGGAACATTGTGGTGTGCTGTTGTTGCTAATAGTGACCCTAATAGAGTTTCTGAGGTTGGTGAGTTTGAAGTGCCAACCTTGTGGTTCACAGTCCAGTGTTGATCCAACAGTACCACACCGGAAGTCCACAAAATAAGTAGTTCAGTCTACCAGATGCTCCTCAAGAGAAAGGTGAGGTTTACTATTCTCATAAAAATGTATAGCCTCAGAAACCCTAAACAGGGTCACTATAGTCAGAACCGACTCAACAGCACACTACCACCACCACCACCATTTCAAGCCTTATCCACATATTAATTGATCTGATCTTTACAAGCCTATGGAGTTAGGTACCGTAACTATCCCACCTTACTAGGGAAGCACAGAAAGGTCAAATAAACTTGCCAGGTCCACATGGTTGATGAGAAGCACAGCTGGAATTTGACCCCAGGCTGTCTGTCACTACCTCCCTAAGGAAGCCTGGTGGGAGAGTTCTGCAGGGTGGGGTAGAGGGGGGGTGAGGGTGGGGTGTGAGTGCCATGCTCCCTTTACAAACACATCTTTCAATCATGTGGCTTTTCTTTCTCTTCTGAGAGAGCAGTACCCGCTGCCCTTTACTCAGCTGGTTGCCACCTAGACACTCAGATCTCCATTCCCGCCAACTCCCTGTTCTTGTAACCCATCCAGTCCTGGGCCACTCTATTTTGGAAGCAAATACAGTGGTTAAGAGTAAGAGTAAAAAATATGGGGTTTCATCCCAGCCATGCCAGTCACCTGCTGTGAGACCATGAACAAACTATTTAACCCCTCTGAACATCAGGTTCCTCATCTGTAAAATGGAGATAATAATAGTACCTGTCTTAAAGGGCTATTGGGAGGACTAAGTGAATTAACATACACAAAGTATTAAACACAGTGCCTGGCATAGAATAAGCTGTAAGCACATGGTAGCTATTATTACTGCACATGTCCCTATGGAATTTCACCTTGAATCGAACTAGTTTCCCACTGGGCCATTCATTTTGAATCAGAACCCTGTTTACAAACAGTCTGGGAAGGGCATGCAAGTCACTAGAGAAGAGGGAGCACAGAAAGCCTCCTCAAACCTGAGGGATGCCATAGAGCATGTGCTTAGGGCTGACTCTCATACCTGAGCGGTCTTCCTGCCTAGACCAGAATCGAAGTCTACCTGCTGGGAATGATAGAACCCAGTAAAGATGCCAGGGGTTGTCCCTGAGTGGAGGATGCTCTCACATGAGGAGCTTGGGGGTGGGAAATTTGAAGACAGGAGAATGACCTTGTTAAACTGTGACCAGGACACAGAACGATGCTGAAAGGCCTCCATACTGAGGCTGTTGTCATTGAAGATCTTCTGGGCCAAGAAGAGGAAGTGCTCTGGGAGCAGCCCCCTGTTGGTCCCCACTTCGGCCATGAACTTGAGGTTCAGAGTTTCACACATCTTCTCCCAGGGCACCCGCTCAGCAACCACAAAGGGTACACGCTCCTGGGCGAGAGGAGGAAAGAAGAAGGCACCTCAGACAATGACCCCCATTCTTCCTTTTACTGACATCCCTCCTACCTCCCCCAGGCCCCATCCCTCTCCTCATTGTTCCCCTCACTCATTCACAAAGGCAGGTGCTATGAAATGATAGTCCTCCAAGACTGGGGTGAAAAGATGTCAGAAGGATAGGAAAGCAGGTCCAAGAAAAGGAGTCAAGGAGGCATCCATTTTACATGCAGCACAAGTATTCTCCCAGGCTACCCCCACACCGTGCGTGTTAAAACCCACTCTGCCCTGTGCTCCCACTTCCAGTCTTTTCTCACCATCTCAGAAAAGGCATTGTCCCACAGGATGGTGGCTTTGGCATTGTTGTCTTGGTTGCCGTGCACAATGACCACCAGGGGCAGAGATAGGGCCTAAATGGAAAGATGGGGTTCTTTTAATGGGGGGTAAAGATTTCCTCATGGGGCTGGTTCTGAGGGTCTAGGGAAGTTATTGGTCTTTTCCCGACATAATTAAAAGCTTGTGGTATGTTTTTAAGTGTTTTCTGAGGCCCAAATAGGGCGAAGCAGACACAAGGCAATACTCTGGAGTCAGACTTCCAGGTTTCAAACACTAGCTCCACCACTTAGGAGCTGTGTCAGCTTGGACAAATTATTTATTCTGTGTCTCAATGCCCATATCTATAAAATGAAGCTTGTTATAGCACCTACCTCATAATGCTATTGTGAAAACCAAAATATGTGTTGTTGTGGGCGCAACTGAGTCAACTTTGACTCATAATGACTCTATGTGACAGAGTAGAATTACCCCATAGGGTTTTCTAGGCTGTAATCTTTATGGGACAGATTGCCAGGTGTTTCTCCCAAAAAGCCACTGGATGGGTTTCAATCCCCAACTTCAGTCAGCAACTGAACACTTGGCCATTGTGCCACCAGGGTGTAGCTATCACTTTAAACAGTGATCTATAAAAAGTCATGTGTCCTAGCTCCTTCCTGCTCATCCTGGTTCAAAACAAAAAACATCGTGTTGACAATTGTAAAGGTAGATGTTTTCTAACAAAAACAGGGGAGTAGTTAATCTTACAATCCAGAAACAAAGGACCCTAGGATCATCAAGGGAGAAGAGCACAAGCAGCATTTCAAGACATTATCCAGAGAAGCAGGCAGAGAGGGGGACATGGACAGAGGGCGCAGCTGAGGACTCTGCCGAGGACTCTAGATTCATGGGAAGTGAGGGACTAAGAGATGGTGGCCGGGAGGCAGACTTGCAGAATGCGCCCTTTGGTGGTATAAATTATTATATATACCTGAGTGTTAAAAAAAAAAAAAAAGCTAAAGTGAATAGACAGAAACACTGGTAACTAACTGAAGGTACCTGGAGGGGATTATAATCATTGTAATGAAACTAGGAGTATGATTTGTTGAATATAAAACTGATGATCTGCCAAAAAACATTGTGTTGAGTTGATTCTGGTTCATGGCCACCCCATGTGTTACTGAACAGAACTGCTTCATAGGATAGTCTTGGCTTTAATTTTAATGGGAGCAGATCACCAGGTCTTTCTTCCTGGCCTCAGGGTTAGAGAATCCCAGACATGTGGGACAAGGGAAGTCAGAAGGATTAAGAACTCAGAGCCCCAGTGTGTGGCATGGAGGGGCTCTGGGGCCCCTCACAGAGGCAGGGCTGGGCCCTTGGTTCACCTGGAGTTGAATGGGAAGTTTGTTGGGGCCGAGTGTGAAGCTGGTGGAGAAAAGCACCGCACACTTTTCCTCAGTGACCGACTCGGTACCCTTCCGCTCACATCGCTTGATTTTTTTCAAAAGCTGCGGGGTGGGTTAAAGGACAGAAAAGGTGACAGCAGAGAAAACCTTTTCCTGGGGCCCTGGTCCCCTCTCCCAGGAGAGTCCCATAGCCTAAGGACCCTGGCATACCTTCTCCCACTCCCCTACCCCGCCCCTGCACCCTGAGGGCTTTTACCAGGTTTTTGAATAGGGCAGAGCAACAGTTCCCAGGAATGCTGTTCTCCAGGGGTACCATGTTGTTGATGATCTCCCCACTGCTTTCTCTGCAGGGGGAGGGGTGATGGGCAGAGAGTGAGCAAACACATCCTAATGGGGCCAGGTGTGCTCATGACAGTAAGAAGCTTGAGTCCATGGGTGCATGGCAAGGTCCACTCACTGTCACTGGTCCCAAATTTCCAACCCCCCACTTGGGCTCTTAAGGGAGGAGTCCCCAGCTTTCCTAAATCATGATTCCCTCCTTTTCCTCCACTACTCAGGGTCTCTCCCCATCACCCCACCTTCAGGTGCTAGCCCTTCAGTCTCCTCTGACCTCCAGCACCCTAATAGGCCTTCTCTAGCCCCGCCCCTTACACTCCAGTGCCGGGCCCTTGGGGCATGCTCAGCTCCCTCGCCTGCTTCTCAGTCACCATGTCAGCCCTGACCAGTGGAGGCTTGGCTGGGGCCCCCAGAAACCGCAGGCCCAGCAGAAACCAGACACCAGCCTGGAACTTGGTCTGAGTCTTCAGAACCTGGGGGGGCTGCTTCTCCACCAGGAAAGAGCTGGGAGGAGTAAAGAAAAGACAAGGGGAGTTAGGGACTGACTCCCACTTGGTACCCTTCCCACAACTCTAGCCCCCTTCTTTCTGTGAGGGGTTTAGGCCAGGTTGGAAATTCCAAAGGCATACCTGGTGACCAGAGTTCGCAGGACTTCATCCAGCCGGTTAATCAGTGATGCCTGGGTCTTGGCCTCAAGCTCCCCACCAGATGCCCCCACCTCCTGCTGCAGCTGGGAATAAATGTCCACCAGGCTCTCACACCTGGAGTCAGGACAGGAGTCAACGTGGCACAGGATTTAGGTTGCCTGCTCCAACCCAGACCCTTCCCCCTAAACCCAGGAAGAAAGTAGGATAATGTTTGTGGAGGGGTAAGGTGGGCAATGGATGGCTTCAGGGAACCTGGGCTGAAAGGGCTCTGGGTGGCTCATTCTTAGTGCCTGGACCCCCTGTGGAAATCCAGCTGCCTCTCTTCATCAGGGTTCTGCCAGCATATATGGTGTTTTTATGCAAATTGGAAGTTGCCCCCACACTATAAAGGAGTCATGGTGATGCACTGGTTAAGTGTTGGGCTGCTAACTAAGTCAGGGTCTTGAACCCACCTAGGTGCTCCGTGGGAGAAAGACCTGGCAATCAGCTTCCTGAAAGATTACAGCCAAGAAAACCCTTTTGGGAGGTCACATGGGGTTGTTATGAGTTAGAATCAACATGACAGCACACAACCACCACTTCCCCTCCCCCTAATAGGCCAAATAGGAAAAGGTTCCCATTCCTCTGGGCACAGGGCTTGAAGAGAAAAGTATGGGTTAGATTAGCCTCACTCGGGCCCCCTGAGCAGGCACTGTTGTATAGGACAGGACCTGCTCAATGGTACTGTACTGTTGGTACTGGCTTCTCTAAGTTTTTGCCCACTCCAAGGCCCTCCTGCCTGGGTTTTTTCTCTCTCACACCTGTGGGTCCTGCTTACCATCCCCCACTCTCCTGCAGGGACAGCAAATGCCCACTGGCAGCTCTGTACTAACCTCTCCTGCAGCGGAGCCAAGTTCTCCTCAAAAGGTGCGCCATTCCCTCCCAACTGCTGCTGCCGTTTCCAAATCTGGATCCTTTTTAGCACCAGGGCCTGAGCCGCCTCTAGCTCCCCCACTGACTCCTGTAGCAATAGGGGCAGGGCCTGCGGGCAAGGAGGGGCCTGAGGCAAGGTCACCAGAGAGACCACCTCACCCAGCTCTGAGGGCCAGGGGGCTCTCTTTCTCAGCACTCTGCCATTCCCCAGTCCCACCTCAGTCTGTGCCTCTCTGAGGTCTAACCTCCTCCATCTGTTGTTAAGTCCATTACTCACCTCCCTTTGCCCAGTCCCATTGGCAGAAGTTTCTATCAAGCTGTGTAGAGACACTGAGGGTGGGGCAGAAATCAGGGGTGAAGATAGAGTGGTGGTTCAGTCAGGGTTGAAGTCCAAGGTAGGACCACTCCCCACATACTCCCCAAAACCCTCCTGGGGCTCCAGGCCCTGGCCTGTCACCTTGTCCAGCCTCTGCTCCTTGCTGCAGGGCTTCTCTGAGAAGGTGGATTTCGCCCACACGGTGTTGTAGCCTCTGCAGAGCTGTGTTAAACTTGAGTTCTTCCTGCTTCCAGTGGAAAGGCATGGGCAGGTGATGAAACTGCAAGGGAGGGACAGATGCCAGGAGGTGAGGCATTCCCTCTCTCAGCACCTAGTCCCTGCTTCCTGAAGGAGTGCTCTCCACCATGCTCTGCAGAAAAGCAGACAGACCACTTCTCTTGTCTGGCTCCCCGCTTCCCTCTGGCAGCTATTCCTGAGCTTTTTTAGGGAGTTCCTTTGGGGATCCCATGGGGATCAGACCTCTCTCTTTCTGGCAGACTCAGCTCCTTATCCCTTGCTCTGTCTTCCACAGAGCCTACTACTCTTGGTTCCTCATTTGAAACTTCCCTGAGTTTGACTTGGAATTCACTCAGACCCCAGGAACCTCCTGAGCCTGGAAGCCTTTCCTGAGATTCAAATTCTTTTCTGGCTTCACATGGTCTAAGCTGAAGCCTCAGGGAGTTGAGTTTGAGTGGGGAATTGGGGTATCTCAATACCTGTTCCATAGCAGCTTTTTTCTCCCCTTGAAGTATTTGTCTGAATGTGGCCACCAGCTTCAGAGGATCCCTCTGGTAAATGCTCTGTAGAGGGGAGGGCAGTGGGCAGGGTTAGCCTAGCTCTTAGCCATGTTCTTCTTATTCAGCACTCCTCCACTCTCCATTCACACAAACACTGAAAGGAGACAGAACTGTAGACGCCACAAGTTTTCATGCATTTGCATACTTTTAGAATCTAATTTGCATGTTAGCTAACAGCTAAACACAGGAACACCAACTTTCTTCCAACAACCAGTGCTCATCTCAGCTCCACCCATCCTAGTCCAGCCCTGTCCCCTCCCCTCCAGCCCCCACCTCCAGGGTGCTGATGTGTTGCAAAACGGTGCTCCCCTCCGCCTGCTCTCCAGCTGTGGCTTGAAGGCGCTGGACAGTGGCTGAGAGTAGGGCGCTGGCCATGTTGCAGCAGAAAGCATCTGATCCAACCAGGAACTCCCTGCAGGAAGATCAGGGTAAGGCTATCTTGGGCCACGGCTTCCCCAGCTCACTGGACCCTCCACTCCAGAGCAAAGAGCTCAGAGCCTCCTTTTCCTTCTTTATTCTCTGCCCAGATCTCTGTAGCCCTTATCCTTGCCTCTTGCTCCCCATTTCCCAGCTGTGATAGGAGGGACCCAGCCCTGACCTCCCTCTTCTTTGGTTCAGTCTCCTGGGCTCCATGTGTTCACATGTACAGTCTGAGGGGACACAGACTGCCTGCTAAGTCTCAAACACATGTGGAATTGTTGTTGAGTGCTGTTGAGTCTGTTCTGACTCATAGCGACCCTATATAGGGTTTCCAAGGAGCGGCTGGTGAGTTTGAACTGCCAACATAGCTGTCTAGTGCTTAACTTAACAGTGCCACACCATGGCTCCACATGTGGAATTTTGTTGTTAAGTGCCATTGAATCTTGTGACTCATAGCAACCCTGTATAGGATTTTCAAGGTGTGGCTGGTGGGTTTGAACTGCTGATCTTATGGTTCAAGCCAACCTTGCATCCAGCTCATTATCCTGCAGCGCCACACCAGGGTTCCCACGTGTAGAATAATAGGTCCCATATCCTGAATTGCACAGGTGAAGGGACAGAGTTCAATGGGAGGGAGGCAGGTCAGGGAGGACCTGAGGGACTCACCAGGGCTGGTTCTCTAGCCAGTCACCCAGGAGGTGCCGCAGGTGTCGAGGAAAGTCGACATAGAGCCGCTGCAGGTTTTCTGGGGGCATCTTGGAGACCAGACCCCACAAAGACATGTTCTGGGGTTTGGAGGGTACCTGGAGGAGAAGAACAAGGTCACTCTGAGAGGTGTCTCAAAAACTCATCCTGTCTTCTTGGGTAGCTAGGGACCTCTTGTAGACATCTTAAATGTCATCTTAACTCACAATCAATTCTCCTCAAATCAGACACATCCTTGGTCAGTGCCTGAGACAGAGTGGCATATTCCATAGGGCTCAGAGGGGCAGTCATTACTGTTGTTAAGTGCCATTGAGTCGGTTCCAACCCATAGCAACCCTGTACAGGGTTTCTGAGGCTGTAAATCTTTACGGGAGCAGCTGGTAGTTTCGAACTGCTGACCTTAAGGTTCGCAGCCCGATTTGTAACCACGTTACCAGAGCTCCTTCAGAGGGGCAGTGGTGGTGGGTAAGCTGGGCTCTTCTCATAGGGATGAGGAGAAAAGGAGACCATGGCAGTGGAGAACAAACTCTCCAGCCAAGGAGGCAGAGGATGTGGGTTCCAGCTCTAGACCTGGCTCTAGTTCTGTGGGCAAGGAACCTCCCTTTTGTGGGCCTCAGTCTCCTCATCTATAAAATATGAGGGTTGGATGAGTATAGAGCATTCCAAAGTTTTGGAATAAGGAGATAATTTTAGTTTTCAATCTGTGGAGTCCCAAAGATATAAATCATATAAAATTGGAGTTCTTCTGTTGAAAGCAAGTATGGAATGCCTGAAACACTAATACTACAATATCCCTCTCTCCACATTTGGAATCTAAAGTATCCTGGAAAAATCCCTCAAAATTCCTGGGCTGCAAGAAAATTTTCAAACCACCAGGCTAGATGATGATGATGATGATAGCAATAATATTGCTGTTCTTTATTATTGTTTCTGTTGTTGTTGTTAAGTACCGGTGAGTCAGTTCCAACCCATAGGGACCTTGTATAGGGTTTCCAAGGAACAGCTGGTAAGCTTGAATTGCTGACCTTGTGGTTCAAACTGACTTTGCAGTCCAGTATTTAACCCACAGCATCACACCAGGACTCCTGCTGTTGATTACTCCAGGTGAATTGGCCCCCAACTCATTGTGACACCATGCAAAATGGAACTAAATGCTATCCTGGTCAGGCTCCACTCCTAGGATCCAACTATTATGATTCACAGGGCTGGCTGATTTCTAGAAGTAGATAACTAGACCTTTCTTCGTAGTCTGTCTTAGTCTGAATCATAGGTTGGCAGTGCAAGCTTACCAGCCGCTCCTCGGAAACCCTACACAAGATTGCTATGGGTCGGAACCTATTTGACAGCACACAGCAACCCTCTAGCCAGTGAATAATTTCTCCTTCCCTCCCACCCCTGATAACCATCACAGAATGTTCCTTTTAGCAAGAAAACCTTTTCTTAACTCTACAACAGTTTGTTGTCGTAAGTGCTGTCGATTCGGTTTCAACTCAAAGCCACCCTTTAAGGGTTTCCAAGGCTTTAAATCCTGACAGGAGCAAAGTCTCATCTCTTTTCTTGGCAGGCTGGAGTTGTGGACCTTGTGGTTTTCAGTCCAGTGCTTATCAAGTCAAAATTTGTCCTTTTGTGACTAATTTCACTTAGCACAATGTCCTCTAGGTTATTCCATGTTGTGAGGTGTTTCACAGATTTATCATTATTCTTCAGCATTGTGTAGTATTCCATTATGTAAAGGTACCAAAGTTTGTTTAACCATTCTCCTGTTGACATGCATCTTTTAATTATTGTGAATAGTGCTGAATATATGGACACATGGGTGTTCATATAATTATTCTTGCATGACTCTTACTTCTTGAAGATATATACCAAGTAGAAGGATTTCTGGGTCATATGGTATTTCTTATTTTAAAAAATCATATGTAACACATAAAGATTGATATCCTAGGCATTAGTGAGCTGAAGTGGACTGTTATTGGCCTTTTGGAATCCAAAAATCATGTTTTACTATGCCAGGAATGACAAACTCAAGAAGAATAGTGTAGCATTTCAAGATCTATCTTGAAGTACAACGCTGTCTATAATAGGATACTATCCATATGCCTATAAGGAAGACCAGTTAATACCACTATTTTCAAATCTACCCACCAACCATTATAACCAGTGATGATGAAATTGAAGAATTCTACCAACTTCTTAAGTCTGAAATTCATCAAACACACAATCAAGATGTATTGATAATTAATAGTGATTGGAAAGTAAAGGTTGGAATCAAAAGGAAGGATCAGTAGTTGAAAAATATAACCTTGGTGATAGAAATTATGTTGGAGATTACATAACAGAATTTTGCAAGATCAATGACTCATTCATTGCAAATACCTTTATTAAACAACTTAAAAGGCAACTATACACATGGACCTCACCAGATAGAATATATGATTTTCAGATTCAGATGGAAAACACAGGAATCAAATTGACTACATCTGTGGGAAGAGACACTGCTCCATATCATCAGCCAACACAAGGTCAGGGCCCAAATTCAGGCTGAAGTTGAATAAAATGAAAAACAAGTCCATGAGAGCCAAATTATGACCTTGAACATATTCCACCTGAATTTAGAGACCATCTCAAGAACAGATGTGATGCATTAGATACTAACGACCGAACAGCTGTGGCATGACATCAAGAAAAACATACAGGAAGAAAACAAGCAACATAAAGGTTGTTGTTGTTGTTGTTGTTAAGTGTTGCCATGCTTGTATAAGGTTTCTGAGGAGCAGCTGGTGGATTTGAACCACTGACCTTGGGGTTCAAACTGACGTTGTGGGCTAGTGCTTATCCTACAGAGCCACACCAGGACTTGGCAGACCAAATAAACTGGACACAGATGAAAACCCTGGCACCATGAACTTCAGAAGAAACGTTAGAGAGGTGGATGAAACGCTGAAAAGGGAAGCTGGGTAGGGTCAGTAAAAAAGGGAGATTCACTGGTGAACCGCTGGCAAGATACAGCTAGACCATCTTGTGAGTGCCTTTGGCAGCAGAGGGAGGCCTGGCAGAGAAGATTCGCCAGGGCTACAAGAAAGGTGTGATTTCATCTTTTCCCCCACACTCCCCTAGTGACCAGAGGTGCAGCCAGCTCCCACCCTCATTCACCCTCAGCGTAGACCCTGCTCTACAGGAGTTCAGAGCCACGTGGTTAGCTATGCCAATGTGAGTTGGGGGCCAGCTGTGTCACTTTGGTGCTTGGATTCAGGTGGGCTTAGTTCCAGAACAACAAAACCTGCTGAGCTACCAGACCAGCATTTAACTAGTCACCCTGCCCCCTATGCCTTGTAATCCTAACACACACTAAAACCAACTCCATCAAGTACCCGCACGATCTACTTCTGGATTGAGTGCCCTGAACAGAGATAACACGGAGTCCAAAAGGAACTCCGTCCAGGGCGAGGAACTCAGCTGTCACGTCCCTTCCACACTACCTTATGAATTGCAGGAGTCACCATAGATTTAACCCCTCTGGGTTTAACAACTACACTGTTTGTTTTTACAAATATGACAATTCCACAATGCCCTAGAAAAACCAGACAAGTTTAGCTCACACAAAGAAACAAGGGAAAATGGCTCAAATAACCATGATGCAGAGACAGAAAACATTTCTGAGGAAAAAAGGTAATGGCACTAACTGAAAAAGAACTCAAAAGAATGAATAAAATAATGATATTTTGGTACGTTCAATGGATTGATAGAAGATCAAGGAAAGCAAGTAGAACACAGAAAAAAACTTTAGAGAATTCAGGAAAATGCTGGAAGAACAAACAGACAAAACAAATGCAAATTTTAAAACAATACAAAACCTGAAATTAGGAATCCAGAAGATTAATGCTAAGATTTCAGAAATGGGCCATATATGGAAAGAACAAAGAAGATTCAAAGCAGATAAATCTGAAGATAAATATCTCAATATGCTAGAAGAACAAAGAAAACAACAACAAAAAATCTGAAGAAAACCTAAGAGTTATGTCAGACACCATGATGATTGGAATTCCAGACAGGAAGATAATAAAAAGCACAGAGAAAATTATCAAAAAGTTGTTGAAAGAAAATGTCCCTAACATCACGAAACACTAGAAGATAAGCATACAAGAAGCTGAATGAACCCCAAAAAGGATATATCATAAAGAAAATCACAAAGACATATTATAATCAAACTTTCAAAAATCAAAGACAAGGAAAGAATCCTGAGAGCAGCTCAGGAAAAACAAAAAGTTACCTACAAAGGAGAATCAATAAAACTGGGCTTTGATTTCTCAGCAAAAACCATGCAGACAAGAAGACAATGGAATGACATATACAAAACTCTGAAAGAAAAAACTGCCAACCATGAATCATATACCCAGCAAAGCTGTCCCTCAAATATAACAGCAAAATTAGAACATTTCCTTATAAACAGAAATTAAAGGAGTTTGTAATGACCAGACCAACTTTACAAAAAATGCTAAAGAGTGTTCTTTGGACTAAGAGCCAACAACCTAAGATTACCGTACATGACAACACCACCCAGAACTCAATCCAGATATAGAAGTATTTAAAGTAAAACAAACATACTAACCTAAAAATTGGAAACCAGAAATAACTATGTATAAAGAAGCCAACTATCCAGCAAAAAGAGGGAATAGTGTAGATACAGAACTTTCAAATGTCAAGGAAGTCAAGTAATTTAAAAAATAAAACAGACTATTTTAAGCAAGAAAAATATTAATAAATTACAGCATATCCTCAAAGAAAAATAATATACCTGTATAAGTGGTGTTGTGAGTTAATGCACCAGACTGCAATGTCAGCTTGAACCACAAGGTCAGAGGTTCAAGTTCACCAGCAGCTCATTGGGAACCCTATATATGGTCGCTATGAGTCGGAACCGACTTGATGGCACTTAACAACAACATCAAAATTTAAAAAGAGGATATCATAAAAATTTAGTAAACATTAACAGAACAGAAATGAAAATGACAAGAAAAAAAAAAAAAACCACAAACAAAATTAATTCAGTATAAAAAATTATGTGGCACAAAGAATC